TATCCATGGCATTGAGAAAGTAGGTAGAGAGGGTGGAATCCCCTGTCTCATAACACTTATTATTATTATTATTTAATCATTTTTTCAATACAAACAACAACCGCAAAAGACACATACAACAAAAACCATAATAACACTGATAACACAATTTGACAATTCAGATTTGAATACACTGATATACTCATGACAACACCTTTTTAACAATATTTTCCCACCACTCTCTCCTCCCCCTACTTCCCACCACTATCCGCCTTATCGCTTAAATATTCCTTCCAGATTTCTTCATATTTATCCAGTCTTAATTTGGGTTGACATGCAATTCATTTGTATGGAGCTAATCTGTCCATATTATCAATTCATGTGCTCAATGGAATCTTTTTGCGGCTCTTCCAATTCATCAAAACAGGTTTTTTTGCTTCTAATATAGCACGGTACTTCCATTATTATTTTTTTACCCCTTCTAATCTCCCACGTTTCCAGAATATAATTTAGAATTAAATTCAATTCCCCTAAATAACAATTTCTTTTTATTACTCTTGCTATAAATATCCTCACCTCGCACCAAAATGATCTTATCATTGGGCAGTTAATCATCATATGTACTAAGTTCGCATTTTTACTCCCACATCTCCAGCAGTTGTCTGCACTTGTTATTTTCTTCTGGTATAGTTTTGCTGGAGTCCAGTGGACTCTGAATATTATTTTCTGTTGAATAAGTCGTAGTCTTAGATCCATAGAGGCTATTTCTGTTGATTTTATACTTGACTGCCATATACCATTTGTTATCTGTACACCTAACTCTTCATTCCATTTCTATCATATTCTAAATCATATTTCTTCCTGTTGAGTAGAGTTTTATATAGTGCAAGTGTAGAGTTTTTTTGTTTTTGTTGCAGAGTTTAAATCTTGCAGCAGCATGGGTGTTTCCGATGCTGCTATAGCGTCAGGGCCAAACTGCCTTTCCAACATATGTTTCAATTGGATGTGTTGCCATTGCTTTTCACTGGTTAATCCATACTTTACTTGCAAAGTCTTATATTCCACAAATTTGTAATTTTCATCAATTAATTGATTCAACGCCGCACAATCGAACCTGTTTTTGTATTCTCTGTCACTCAATGTTTTAAATCTCCCGTTACCTTTGTTATCCCCATTTTCTCAAAGTATTCGCCCAGAACGGCATACACTTTTATCTCCCCACCCCCATTTTATGTTGTTATTTCTATGTATATTATGCTATGGCCGCATGGCTAATGCAATAAAATCATTATATAATGTCAAAATACCTTTTTTCATCCAATTTTGCCAAGTTATTACTTGATTTCCATTTTTTTAATTTTGGGTTGGCCCATATTGTCTCATAGCACTTGAATTTGCTTATATTCAATGAAACTGAATGTTGGGAAATTCAAGACGGATAAAATGATAGAATTTTAGAGTTGGAAGGGACATCAAAGTTCACCTGGTCCAACCCCCTGCAATGCAAGAATCTCAACTGAAGCATCCATGACAGACGGCCATCCAACCAAAGAAAGTACTGTATTTTCCTGTGTATAAGGCGAGGATTTTTTATTTTAAAATTATGTTTAAAATCGGGGGTCGTCTTATGCACGGATAATGCAGTGTGGGGACGGGCGATTGGTTGCTGCCACAAGCAGGAGATTGGCATTGGCAACATGTGATATTGTCTGCGTTTTTCTGGGGCAATCCTCCCCCAAAAAAGCTTGACAACTCCTGGCAATCTCCCCCCTCCCCGTTTTCTTAATTTAGAGTCCCCAAATATAGGGGGCATCTTATACACAGGGGGGTGTTATACACGGAAAAATACAGTAATTCTTCATACAGCTCATATGATCACCAACTTGGATGATTTTAATAGCAGACTGGACAAAATCATGGAGGAAAGGTCTATCTATGGTTGCTAGTCAGGGTGGCTGCGCTCTTCCTCCACATTCAGAGGGGGAAATGCTTCTCAATACCAGTTGCCGGAAGCCACAGGAGAGGAGAGGGATCTTGTGCACAGGTGCTGCTTTTGGGTTTCCCTCAAAAGGAAAAGGTGGCCGCTGTGAGAAAAGGATGCTGGACTAGATGGGCCATTGGCCTGATCCAGAAGACTCCTCTTAGGTCCTTGTGTTCCTATTATGGTGTAAGCTTCCCTTGCCATAATGTGCTTTTTTCTTTCACTATCTACTTTCTCAGTGTCTCTTGATGCCATTGACCATGGTATCCTTCTGGAGTGGCTGTCTGAGTTAGGGGTGGGTGGCATGTCTTTGCAATGGTTCTGGTCCTACTTTGATGGTTATTTCCAGAGGGTGATGCCTGGGGAGTGCTCCTCTTTTTCCATATGGAAACCAGAGTCAGAGGTCATACATTTTCTATTACTGGGGAATGATCAGGAGCTCACCAAGTTAGTGGCTAAATATCTCTATTTGGGGGTTTTTGTCATTGAAATACACTGCAGACACTTGATCTCCCTGGAGACCTAGAGATGTGACGATAGACTGCTCTGCCTCCTTTCTTTTAGCAAATGTTTTGTGCCACTGGGGAAGTGGTAATTCTGTACTGATTTGTTTTGGATGTTGTATGTGATGCCAATAAAGGTTTTACAATATGATACGGATATATATATATAGCCACAATACAATAAAAACAACAAACTCATCTACAAGAGATAAAGAAAAGAAACTAAAGAAAGAAGAGACAGAAGAAGAAACCACAAAATTTTCTCTCTCCACTATATCTTAACTTTCATCCCCTACAGAGGAAGGTGTTCCCTCTCAGCTCTTACCTGGGCTCACCCTTCTCTTCTCACCCACTGAGATCTCCCCTTACCTGCCTCTCACACAGGGTCCTCAAACTGTCCTTCCACTTGGGGAGTGCTCTTCGGCCCTGCAGACATGGGGTTCCTCAGAGTTCAGTTTTAACCTCTGTGCCATTTAACATCTACATGAAACCATTGAGTGGGGTTATCTGGAGTTTTGGGGTACGTTGCCAGCAATATGCTGATGACACACAGCTCTACTTCTCCTTTACAAATGTGGGGGTGGATGTGTTGGGCCATGGTCTTGTCTTAGTAATGGACTGGGTAAGAGTCAACAAACTGAAGCTCAATCCAAATAAGGCTGAGGCACTGCTAGTGGGTGGTTCCCTAGACTGGACAGATGAGAGGTTGCCTGTTCTTGATGGGGTTAGAATACCTCTAAAGGAGCAGGTACATAGCTTTGGGCTTTCTGGACCCTTTGCTGTTGCTTGAGACTTAGGTGGCCTTGGTGATATGGATTGTCTTCCATCAGCTTCGGCTGGTGGCCCAGCTGCCCCCTATCTGGACAGGGATAGCCTAATTCCTGTCATCTATGCTCTGGTAGCCTCTAGGTTAGATTGCTGCAACATGCTATATATAGGGCTGCCTCTGAAGACTGTTCAGAAACTTCAGCTGGTGCAGAATTTGGCGACCAGGTTGCTCACCAAGGCATAGTACACCATTTCTGGCTTGACTGCACGGGCTGATTTTGACCTATACGTTTTATCATATGTGGTGGGAATGTAAGAAAGTGAAGAGTTTCTGGGAAGCGATATATAATGAATTGAAAAAGATGTTAAAATATTCTTTTGTAAAGAAACCAGAAGCTTTTCTTTTAGGGATTACAGGAAAAGAAATAATAAGAAGAAAGGATTATAAACTTTTTCAGTAAGCAGTTACAGCGGCAAGAATTTTATTGGCCCATAAATGGAAGCAAGAGGAAATACCGACGATACAAGAATGGAGAATGAAACCGACAGACTATGCAGAACTGGACAAATTAACTGGGGAAATTAGATATGTGAGAAACCAAAAGTTTACCGAAGACTGGGAAAAATTTGTAGAGTATCTGAAAAACGTGTGTGATGTGCAAACAACGCTAGTGGGGTTTCAAGAAGCACTGTAAAGTTAAGATGTATTGTCAAAAGAAATAGAAGGGGGAGGGAAGATAAATGGCAATATAACGAAGGGAATGCGTACTGAAGAATAACTATGGATGATTACCAGAGCAGCTGAAGGAAGCCCAAAAAAGATTTAATTTGTCAAAAATTTGGATAAAATTGTATAATTTTGTTGGAAAATTAATAAAAAATTATTTTAAAAAAAAGATTTTGACCTATACAGCCTTAAATGACTCAGGACCTCCTATATGAACTGACCTAGACCCTGCGATCATCATAGGAGGCACTTCTTCATGTGCCTCCTCCACCAGAGGTCAAGAGGGTAGCAAAACGAGAACAGGCCTTTTCTGTGGTGGCTCCCCGTCTGTGGAATCCTCTCCCCAGGGGGGCTTACCTGACACTTGAAGTACATATCTTTAGGCACCAGCTGAAAATGTTTCTGTTTAACCAGGCCTTCAGCCCTGAGATCTGTGGGTACAGGGCAGTGTACAAATTTAGATAATCTTCAAAACATTATCTCGATGTCAATGTGGTTGTTGGAGCAGACAAATTCCTTCGTTGGTCTCCCAGAAATGTTTCCATCCTTTGCATACAGAAGTTGGTGTTTGACATTCTGGGGACCTCAAACAGGGTTATGTGTTGGGGAGGCTCCTTTGACTATAAGAAACTGAGCCTTTCGTGTCATCAGCCCAATCCTGTGGAATGCTCTGCCACTAGAAATTTGGCAGGTGGCTTCTGTGCCAAGTCTTAAACATCTGCTGAAAACTTTTCTATTCCAGTAGTTTTGCGCAAACATTTAAGGATGCATGCACTTTCCCATAATCCTTAGTGGTGACCCATTCCAATATATATATATATATATATATATATATATATATATATATTGGTATGTATGTAAATATTTTTTACAACTAATAAATAAATAAATTCTACAGCAAGTCAACTGAAGCCACAAGGGGTACAGACTCCCTGAATTCTGCACCCCCAAACCTGCCTCCCCAGCCTTCCCTCTTCTCCTGCCAGCTTTGTGATCTTGGCAAGGGTTTTGCAACAATGCTGTCTTTTACTCTTTCACACAGATTAAGACGGAAGACCTCGGTGACTCTTTGCAAACCGCCATTCCCTCCAGATCAAGCCACCTGGTACAAGGGCCCTCGATGATGCCTGGAGGGCAAATTGCTGGGGTAAGAGACTTTCGGTGATTCATACGGACAAGTGTTGATCAAAAGCAGTTGTAGATCCAGCGAAGAATTCCTATATGGGGTGTGGCCTTGAGGCACTTGATGCACCACCAGTGCTGAAGCTAAGCAGGTCGAGGTCTGGTCAGTGCTTGGATGGGTGACCATCTGTGACCTTGTGGAGCTGCAGGTTGTGAATAAATGAACTATAAACAATACTGGCCACATGGTCCTGTTAAAAAGAAAGGCTATAACATTTAGGGCTTTTAGTTTAGGGTTAGGAAAGGTAATCGGAGTGAGGGGGGTCATGGTAGAGGCGTGGTGTAGAGAAAGTGAATGCAGAGAAGTTATCCGATAAAACTGAATGACTGGAGATTCAGGATAGACAAAGGGAAGTGCTTCTTCTCCATGAGTGTGATTAATCTGAGGAACTCACTGCCACAAGATGCGGTGACAGCCACCAGCTCAGACGGCTTCTAAAGGGAATTAAGCAAAGTCATAGAGGAGGGGAGGTCCGTCAATGGCTGTTATCGTGGTGCCTCAGTGGAACCTCCATGTTCAGGGGCAAGGTATCTCTAATAGCAGTTGCTGGAGAGAGCAAAGGAAGAAGAGAGCTATTGCTTTCAAGCCCTGTTTGTGAACTTCCCAGAGGCGAAGCTCCTGTCTGGACCCTGTGAGAGGGTCTTTTAACATTCTGATGAGTCTACTCTTCTCCTGCTCATTTCAAATATCCAAGAGGTTGTTCTGCATTTGTGGGAGGGGGAGCATTCAAAACACCTGAAGTCTTTGGTCTCAGTCTAGCCACATATTGTGGGCTTTGGCCCTCGAGTGCCGAGTCATCAACCAATGAGAAACTGGATGATATATTTGCGCATGCTTGGACAGTTGTGTATTTTTGGGGAAAGTAAGGAGGGGAGTCAGGGACGCGGGTGGCGCTGTGGGTAAAACCTCAGCGCCTAGGACTTGCCGATCGCATGGTCGGCGGTTCGAATCCCCGCGGCGGGGTGCGCTCCCGTTGCTCGGTCCCAGCGCCTGCCAACCTAGCAGTTTGAAAGCACCCCCGGGTGCAAGTAGATTAATAGGGACCGCTTACTAGCGGGAAGCTAAACGGCGTTTCCGTGTGCAGCTCTGGCTCGCCAGAGTAGCTTCGTCACGCTGGCCACGTGACCCGGAAGTGTCTGCGGACAGCGCTGGCTCCCGGCCTCTAGAGTGAGATGAGCGCACAACCCTAGAGTCTGTCAAGACTGGCCTGTACGGGCAGGGGTACCTTTACCTTTTTACCTTTTAAGGAGGGGAGTCATGGTAGTGATGCAGATGGAGAGGGGTGGGCAATGGAGCATATGCAGAACTAGGTGAAAAGGTCCCACTGACTGCCACTTTGGCTCTTATTTTCCTCCAGGATATGAGTTCTCTTCACACGTTACAACAGCTCGTGCAGGTTCCAGGCCACATGCAATCCGTCCCCCTTTTCCTGCTTTCTCAGGGCCCAGGAGGACAACAAGGTAAGGAGGACATTCATCTAAGTATATATGTGGAAGCTGCAAGAAAATGTTGCAGCGTGAAGTGCTTTTGTTCCTGATACTCCAATTTATTCTCCATTCTCTCCCGCCTCCCCCCTGCTCCCCCTTTCCTCCCCCTTTCAATAATCAGTCAGCATTCCCCAGCCACTGATCATGCCGACTTCTTTCCTTATATGAACTGTTTAACAGGATTTATAAACCGCTGAATCAACTGTAACCTCTAAGCGGTTTACCCGGACTAGAAAATTCTTGAAGGATTTGCTATTCATTAATCATAATCATTAAGAAATGCTGGTAACAAGCAAACGTTAAAAGCAAGTTAACCTAAGATTAATCAAAATACATAATAATAATAATAATGTAAAATCAGCACTCGTTAGAAATTTATGAAATTAATAGAAGCTCATGTTATCATTACATGTTAAAATTGCAAGCCTGGGTAGGATTCTCTAAACCATTGGTAGGCAGACTAAGGCCCGGGGCCGGATCCGGCCCATAGCCTTCTAAATCCGGCCCACAGATGGTCCAGGAATCAGTGTGTTTTTACATCAGTAGAATGTGTCCTTTTATTTAAAATGCATCTCTGGGTTGTTTATTGGGCATAGGAATTCATTCATTCCCCCACCCCAATATATATATATATATAGTCTGGCCCCCCACAAGGTCGGAGGGACAGTGGACTGCTCCCCTGCTGAAAAAGTTTGCTGACCCCTGCAGTCTAAACAAACAAACGAAGTCGTTAGCAGGTGTCAAAAGCAATGCCGTGCAGATGTTTCAAGGATATTGATATGTTTGGGGCAGGGTTACCATACACCTGGAATTTCCTGGAACTTTCCTCAGAATACTGCAGTCAGAAGCAGTGTCGAGGAGGAAATTGGCACAAATGTCCAGGGAAATCTGGATGTGTATGGTCTGGATTTTCAATTTTTCAAATATGGCAGAATAGTTTTGGAGGCTTTTGACCCTAAATTTATATAACAGCATAAGCAGAGCCTGCTGGACCAGGCCAATGGCCCATCTTGTCCAGCATCCTGTTCTCACAGTGGCCAACCAGATACCCCAGTGGGAAACCCGCAATCAGGTTTCCTTTCCTCTCCTGCAGTTTCCATCAGCTGGTATTCAGAATCATCATTGCCTCCAACTGCATAGGCAGAGCATAGCCATCATGACTGGTAGCCGTCAATAGCCCTCTCCTCTAGGAATTTGCTCTATCTCCTTTTAAAGTCACCCAAGTTGGTGGTCATCCCTGCCTCCTGTCGGAGTGAGGTCCACAGATTTACTAGACAAACTCCTTCTCTCCCTACCCTCTTTCTCCTGCTGAGTAACTCTTCCTCAGCTGGTTAAACCTCCTATCCCTTCTGATCCCCTTGGTGATTGGTCCCATGGAGGCAAGGGAGGCAATTCAGTCAGAATTGGGGGGGGGGGGTGTAAAACCAGCATCCCCCCATTGTGCTGCCACCACCAAGGGAAAGGAGGAGAGGTAAACACGCGGCTGAACCGAAGCCCAGGCCGAGCCGACCTCCCCAACAGCTAGCACACTAAAAGCAAGCCAGAGCCCACTGGAAAAGACCTTGCTTCCTTCTATTTTCAATTTTTGAGGGAAAAGAAAAGAAAAAGGCACTTTTTTGTATTTTTAAGGGAAGGAAGAAGGGGAAAACATTGTTTCTTAATTTTAATTTTTAATTGTTTTTTAAAAAGAATTTCCTTTCTTTCTTTTTTTGAAAAAATAATAATATTTTTATATTACTATTTTCATCTCCATCTATTTTTTAATACATAGATTTCCCCCTCCCCCCCCCTCATATATTTTAACCTTCTTTAAAACAAAAACAAGCATCCCCAAACTCAGCCCTCCACATGTTTTGGGACTACAACTCCCATCATCCCTAGCTAACAGGACCGGTGTTCAGGGATGATGGGAATTGTAGTCCCAAAACATCTGGAGGACCGAGTTTCGAGGTGCCTGGTGTAGAATGTCCCTCTCCCTGCATTCCCTCTTGTGCTGCTCAGCTAACTGGGTAACACCTGAACATGGGTTTAAACAGAGCTGGCCTGCAGAGAAAAGAGCTCCCTTGGAGGAATAGTGGGGTATAAATTTGATAGATAGATAGATAAATAAATATTATTTATTTGATAAAGAATTTGCTTCTTGGCTGATCAGTGGAGGCACGTTGTGGGCCAAGCAAGAGAAGGGTGCAAGCCAGAAGCAGCTCAAGAAGTGAAAACTACACACTTCTGAACAAGAAATAGGGGGGAAAGGGCTCATGTTTCTAGGAGACTATGGATGCTGCCCGGAAAATGTGCATACTGCCCAGAGAATGTCCAAAATGCAGGCGAGATATGTACATTCCCCAAAGTCTGATGGGGATTAGGCAAAATGGACAGAGGATGTACAAATTTCAGCCACTATATGTACACCTTCTTGTATGAACCTGTCCTGCCTCACAACCAACACATGCAGACCGAGATTCTTGTTTAATTTTTGTCTTGATTTTATGGTTTTAGTGTTTTTTGTAAACTGAATTTTTGTTTCTGTTTTGTTTTTTACAATCGAGTGGCACATATATTGTATGAAATAAGTACTGTAAATGAAAGTAAGTAAGAGATAGATCTTTATTTGTACGCAAGCTCTCCCCGCCGCCACTGCTGTTGAATGAACGGAGGTGCTCCCCATCCTTTAGGCCTATGACCTGCCATCCCGCAGCAGGCAAAGCCATTTGGCTAATTTTTGTCTGCCTCATTTAGATCCTATCTCCCTGGATGTTGCAAAGGCATTAAAACGTCTCCGCCAGCGCCGTCTGGTAGGGTTCTGCAAGACCCACTTGCAGTGGCGTGCGTCTTTTAATTACATTTGCATGCATGTCTCTAATTTGCAAGGTGCCTAGTCGCAGATGAAACAATGGCCAACCCCTACCCTGTGGGATCTGACAGGTCTTTGTTTTCCTTTCTGCTACTCCGGAGACACACGGGAGTAAAAGGGTGAAGCAATGATTCCGCTGAAGTAGTCAAACAGCTGCAAAGAGCTGGGATTACACAGCCAGTGACTGGGAGCAGGAAATTAGGAGGGTTACAGTGATGAACTCCTGCGGTGACTCAGTTCTCAGTAACATAAGTGGAGCACTCCCTCGCCTCAGTGGCTACTTTCAGCAATGGGTGAACTCAGCAACCTGCACCCAAAACCAACCTGGCTCCATTTCCTCACACCCCTTAAGACATGACTATCTCACACACCTCTGATTTAGTTTCTCTGCTCTCCTCACAGTTGCACGTCTTCCTAAAATCACAGAAGTGTAGAGTTGGAAGGAACACCAAAGGTCATCTAGCCCAAGCCACTGCAACTACTACTACTACTACTACTACTACTATTATTATTATTATTATTATTATTATTATTATTATTATTCCCATCTGACTGGGCTGCCCCAGCCACTCTGGGCGGCTCCCAAAAAAATATTAAAAACACAATAAAACATCAACCATTAAAAATTTCCCTGAACAGAGGAGCCTTCAGATGTCTCCTAAAAGTCAAATAGTTGTTTATCTGTTTGACATCTGAAAGGAGGGTGTTCCACAGGGCGGGCACTGCAATCAAGAAGGTCCTCTGCCTAGTTCCTTGTAGCTTCACGTCCCTCAGTGAGGGAACCACCAGAAGACCCTCAGAGCTGGACCTCAGTGTCTGGGCTAGACAATGGGGGTGGAGACACTTCTTCAGATACAGGGCTGAGAAGGTTTAGGGCTTTAAAGGTTAGCACCAACACTTTGAATTGCAATGTAGGACTTGCTGTTAAAAAAATCTTGTCAGATGACCACCCAACCTCTGTTGAGAAACCTCCAATGAAGGAGAGTCCACCACCTTCCTCTCTGACAGGAGCTCATTGCTCGGCTTTCGCTAAAGACTGCCACCAGCCCGTGTCTGCACCAAATATTGTGCAGCGAGTGGAGACGAGCTTTCTTTCATCTGCCTTTCCATATGCACAGGGGAACCAAAAGAACTGCATCCAATATGATCTAAGGAGAATGGGTAAAAAAAGAAACCCATTGTACCTTTTACAATGTGGCCGGCTAGTCCACAGTTCTGGAGCTGGCCTCCCAAGAACATACCAAGCGGTGACAAAAAGACCATCTTCTGTGGAGGCAAAGAGAACTGAATATTTGGGTGGATGGGGAGCCAGTAACCTCCTTCAGCTATTCAGCACAAGTTGTCTAAGGTGGGAGTCCTGTGAATGCAGATAGTTACACCTAGCAGAATCAGCTTGTGGACATTTTCCCCACCAGAGGCAGCGATGGTCACCGACTGGATGGTTTTCAATGAGGATTAGAACAATTCACAGAGAAGAAGGCTATCAATGGCTACCAGCCATGATGGCCATGAAATTCCTCCACATATTGAGGCAGCAATTCTTCCAAAATACCAGTTGCCGGAAACCACAGGGGGAGGGGAGAGGGCTCCTGTGCGTGAATCCCGCTTGCGGGTTTCAGACAAGCATCTGGCTGGCCACTGCAAGAATAGGACCCTGCTCCAGGAGGGCCACTGCTCTTCTTATGTTCTGATGCATGCGCCTGCATGCAGCAGCTACCCTTGGACGCAAAAATATTGACTACACCTGTTGTTCAAAGGGCAGCAGCTTGGCTGAAATATGGGAGGAAGGGGAAGGACAAGTGATGGCTGAAGTAGCGGAGGCTGCTTCTTTAGGGGGAATGGGGCAGGGCCCCACTAACCTCAGCCCATCTCCAACCAGCCACCATTTGCTCTGCCTGACAGCTTCCTCCCCCTCCTCCTTAATCTCCGTGTTGCCCATGTATAACTCTGCAACTCTGCAGGGAGGATACTGGAATTAGTCACTGCCTCTGGCGCCACCTACTGGTTGCCTCCCTGCCTTCCACCCTACCAGCTCCAATGGGCCCCAGCCACCACCGAAAGCAAGATTTCATTTCTTGGTGTGTATGTCTGTCATGCAAATTGCAGAGTGGGGAGAAACCAGGCTCACGCCGCAGTTGAAAATCTGCCACAACAGTCTTCCTTTTTTTTTTTTTTCCTCCAACACCCACAGCCTGTCTTCACCCTGGTGCTAAGATGTCATCCTGTCTAGTGGCGTTAAGGCCCAGTTTGGAAATCCATGCTAAGAAAGAAGAGCAGCTGCCAATTTGTCTGTTTGAGGGCACGTCATTAATCTCATGCGCATCTCATTTCTGGTGACATTGCACCATATTGTGGAATACGCTCTCATTTTGGAAAGGTTATATTATCCCTAGGTGGCCTTAGGCAAGCTCCTATTTCACAGCCTCAGCCACGCGTCTGCAAAATGGGAATTATACTGCTGAGCTGGCTTGCCTTCCTGTGTTGTTGTAAGGATTACAACAGGATGTCTGCAAGGTGCTCTGAGCACTCAAAGGCAAGGATAGACAAAGTGGAGCCCTCCTAAGTGTTGCTAGACTACAGCTCCCATCAGCCTGAGCCAGCAAGGCCCAATGGTCAGAGCTGGGGGGAGTTATAGTTCAGCATCATCTGAAGGTATGTATGGAGGAGAAGTTTGATTCCCTTTGCCTTTATAAGCAGACTGCACTAAAGTGCACTTTCTGAAGCAATACACAAATGGAAACACAAGCATCCTTCGAAGTTTGCTGTCCTCCAGACTTTGCAGTGCACTCCTCCAGCTGCATAATATGAACAAAAACGCATATACTGGGGTACTGTGTTCATCGAAATGTACCATATTTTTTGCTCTATAAGACTCACCTTTTTCCCTCCTAAAAAGTAAGGAGAAATGTGTGTGCGTCTTATGGAGCAAATGCAGGCTGCGCAGCTATCCCAGAAGCCAGAACAGCAAGAGGGATTGCTTCTTTCACTGCGCAGCGATCCCTCTTGCTGTTCTGGCTTCTGAGATTCAGAATATTTTTTTCTTGTTTTCCTCCTCCAAAAAGTAGGTGTGTCTTGTGGTCTGATGCGTCTTATAGAGCGAAAAATACAGTATATTGGTAACAATAGCCTTCGAAAATGCCTTGTATTGGGGAAAACTGCATACAAAAGTGGTATATTAGGAGAAATCCACACTCAAATCCACACTTCTCCCCAGGTTTCCAAGCAGGGGAGATTCCCAGTCCAACCTGGAGATGGCAGGGATTGAACCTGCGTGCAAAGCAGATGCTCTAGCAATGAGCCAAAGCTCTTCCCCATCCTTATTCTCAGGGGTGGCACGCCCCATTTCACTCGCCACTGGCACCGCACTACCCTTACCTGCCTTGCCCACTGGTGCCCACAAAGCACCAGCAGCCGCGGCCAACTTCCAGCAAGATTTTGCAAGATCTCACCGAAGTCTTGTGAGATCTCGTTCAACAGGGCCAGCAGCAGAGGCCACGGGCAAACAGTGGAGGTGAGGCAGGCACTGCTTCTAGGGCTTCCTCTGCTCAAGGCAGGCTCCTCACCAGTGCCGGACTTACATATAAGTTAAACAAGCTATAGCTTAGGGCCCCACTCTCTTGGGGACCCCAAAAAATTAAAAAACAAACAAACCTGGATGTACATTTCCAAAATATAAGATAACAAATAAAATTAAACCCACATGCAGCAACAGTGTTTTGTGTTGTGTAGGCTCCTATTTGTTATGTGAATGGCTTTAGATACCTATTATGAATTACCATATAGCATATATTCAACACAAAAAAACAGTGACAATTTGTTGTTGACAAAGGACAGCTGGACATATAAAGGGTCCCATTACCTTCAGTAGCTTAGGGCCTCATCAAACCTAAATACAGCCCTGCTCCTCACTCTTCTTCCTCAGTGGACCAGGCCTGCTTCTTCCTTCCATCCTGAAAATCATCAGGCAGAGACAAAGTTTCTCACACTTTTTTCCCCCTTTCTCTTCCAGCTCTGCAACCAAATCTCCTCTCCTTTCCTCAGCAGCAGAGTGGGATCCTCCTTCCCCAACATGGGCACAGCTTGACGTCTCAGGTAACGGCCGCTTGGCAGGGTGTTTAGCTCATATAAATCACAGAGTTGTAGAGTTGGAAGGGACCATGAGGATCATCTAGTCCAACCCCCTGCAATGCAGGAATATCTTTTGATTGGATTTATTTGGTTCGGTTAACTCAGCTGAATTAAATTCACTGTTGAGCCAAGCCAGTATTCTCCAATATTCAAAATATCCAACATAGAAACTGAAATTTGGAATGTGCCATCTGATCTTAAAATTCAGCTGCTTTGGGGGGTCACTTTGCCAGACATCAAATGTACATCAGCTGCTGGCTGTCAACATCATTAGCCTCATTGCCAAATATGAAAACTGTTGCACGACAGCCACACATATTGTCACATACTAGATCCCAGTGCATGTCAGCTTTTAAATTCCCCTGCCTACTGTAAGATATGGTGAAATACTATATCCCATTGCATGGCAACTATCAGATCCTGACAAATCAAATTTCAAGAATTGAAAATCAAACATATGATATCAAACAACAGATTTGTATGGTCTGTATAGTTGATTGGTACTGTTGCTGTGGGGCAGCATGCATAGAATCCTAGAGCCGGAAGAGGCCTTGGAAGTCATCTCACCCAACCTCCTGGTCAAAGCAGGAAAGCCACTGTGATAGGATCCCTGATAGGTAGCCAACCAGCCTCTGCCTATGAGGAAAGGTTATGGTTTCCCCACAGGCATCTGGTCAGCCCCTCTGAGAACAGGAATGCTAGACTAGATGAGCCACTGGCTTCATCCAACAGACTCTTCTTATGTTCTTATGCTTTAAAACTTCTAATGAAAAGAGGGAGGAAGAATCACAAGCAAAGTGCCTGAAAACTGAAGAGGAAGCGAGATTTGGAGAGGCCTATCAACCGCCGCCAACAGAAAGCATCCAGTCCCATAGTGTCTGATCCTGGGACACTCCCTCTACCACCAGGAGACACCTAGAATGATGGATGAGAGGAAACTGTCTCCATAACACCCAGGCCTCTTATGTCATCTTCAGATGTGTGGGTTTCTGCTCATCCTAAATTATACGAGCAATCTTGCTGGATCAGCCCTCTAGGCCACACCGAGTGTAATTAGGAATAAAAACAACTAAATTTGATTAGTCATTGTTGCAATAAGAAAATCCCTGCTTACAGCCTGTTGGAGGATCGTATATTTGAGTCTTCCCCCTTGTAGAAGACTTCCTTCGTGAAGGAAACTAGCACATCAGAGCAAGAGCATTTATCATCCTTGCATGCTAGATTTCTAACTACGAGAAATGTTTTCCCCACATTTGTAGGATTCCCCCACCACCACCTAACCAGCAATCTGAACTGGTATAGTTCCAACAGGGAGGGACTATGATTATTCTGGATGTGTCTGATTGGCTCTCAATCCCTATGATTATTCTGGATGTGTCTTGATTGGCTCTCAGGTCACACCCATACTATACATTTAAAGCACATTTGACACACATTTAAAGCACATGGATTCCCTCAAAGAATCCTGGGGACTGTAGTTTACAGAGCCGCAATTCCCAGCATCTTTAACAAACTACATTTCCCAGAATTCTTTGGGGAAAGCCATGGCTGTTTAAAGGGGCAGGTTTCTACTTTAAATGTATAGTGTATAGTGAGGCCTTAGTTTCCAGTGGGTATTTTATTGTGTTGACCAATGTGTTGTTCATATTGATGGTTTTCTATGGGGTTATTTTGGCAAAGAATTTGTATTGTACCAGCCACTTTGGACACTTTAACTGAGAGGCTGGATGCAAATGTCCTATAGCCCACACAAAAAAAACACAATTTGGTGAGGGTGGAAGTGGAGTCGTAGAATTGTAGAGTTGGAAGGGACCCCAAAAGTCATAGTAGTCCAACCCCCTGTAATATAGGAATCTCAGGGTCAGTATTTACCCCCAACATCACTGGACAAATGACACCATCGCTATTACTATTTGCCCTGAGCCCCCATTGTTTTCATTTTTTTCTGGCCCAGTGCTCTGAGGAGAGCAGCCATTTTAATTTCCCACAATACCCCTGGTGTAGCAGCACTATGGGACAATGCAGGGAATCAAAATGGTAGCCCCCCAACCATCCAACGCTCCTTCTGGCCACTATTTCTGGCCAGTGAATTAGCTAGGGTTGTGCAGTCAAACCGGCAGCACATCCCATGATGTTTTTGATGTTTTTGTGATTATTCATCTGACCTGTAGCTTAGACCCTTCTAAACATCTTTCCTGGGGAGTGCTTTTGTAGGGTGTTTTTTCCCCCCCAGTAATGATGGCACAATGTGTCTGTTTTATCAGGCGGTGGGACGTCCTGGGCACCCGGATCATCGTTGGAGCCCCACCATGGAAGTCCCTCAGCACTTACAAGTGAGCAAACACTTGCCGTCCTCTGTGGCAACAGATGAAGCCAATGATCTAGAGGAGCTGGAAAAATTTGCCAAGACTTTCAAACAGAGGAGAATCAAACTTGGGTTCACTCAGGTGAGGACGGTCTCCTTCAAACTGTAAAGGCTTGTCTCAAGGCCACCTTGCCTGTGCCTTGAGACCTTCAGCTGATCCTCTTCTCTGAGAACCTTCACTGGGGAAGGTATTTCATGCAGCAGAGAGGGGCAGGGCCTCCTCTGTGGTAGTGCCCCACTGTGGAATGCCCTCTTGATATGGTTGGACCAGAGCTCCGATCATCCCTGACCACTGGCCAGATCTGATGGAAGTTAGAGTCCAACAACACCCATCCCTGCCATAGAAGAACAACGAGTGCTGATACTTTAATCCTTACTGTCTGGTCAAATCCTTTGCCAAGGCTTTTTGAACACTGGTTATGCCTGCTTGTTTTAAACTTAGAAGTGGAGAACTTGTGGCCCTCCAGGTGTTTTGAGGCTGCAACTTCTATCATCTCTAGCCAAGCCATTGGGCATGCTGGCTGAGGCTAAAGGGAGCTGGAATCCAGAAACTTCTGGTTCTCTGCCACTCCTCCAAAACCTGTTCTATGTTGGGGGGGGGGAGTGTTTTCAATAAGAATATCCTGTTTTTTTCTTATCATTGTGTTATCAGTGGTAGTATTCTTAAGTTGGGTATGATTAGATCATGGGTAGGCAAACTAAGGGATGCGGGTGGCGCTGTGGGTAAAAGCCTCAGCGCCTAGGGCTTGCCAATCGAAAGGTCAGCAGTTTGAATCCCCGCAGCGGGGTGCGCTCCCGTTGTTCAGTCCCAGCGCCTGCCCAACCTAGCAGTTCGAAAGCACTCCCGGGTGCAAGTAGATAAATAGGGACCGCTTACTAGTGGAAGGTAAACGGCGTTTCCGTGTGCGGCTCTGGCTCGCCAGAGCAGCGATGTCACACTGGCCACGTGACCCGGAAGTGTCTGCGGACAGCGCTGGCTCCCGGCCTCTAGAGTGAGATGAGCACACAACCTAGAGTCTGTCAAGACTGGCCCGTACGGGCAGGGGTACCTTTACCTTTACCTTTACCTTTACCTTTAGGCAAACTGGAGGCCTGGGGGCCGGATCCGGCCCAATCGCCTTCTAAATCCGGCCCGCAGATGGTCTGGAATCAGTGTGTTTTTACACAAGTAGAATGCGCCCTTTTATTTAAAATGAATTTGTGGGTTATTTGTGGGGCATAGGAATTCATTCATTTCTTCCCCAAAATATAGTCTGAGGGACAGTGGGCCGGCCCTGCTGAAAACATTTGCTGATCCCTGGATTAGATGGTTGTTGTCACTTTGTTAAATGTATTAACCTGCCCTTCGCCAGCGGGTCCCAGGGCAACTTACAACAACTTAAAGTTCAGAATTAAAAACAGTTTACAATTGTAGGAATAGGGCAGGCCCTGAAAACACACATCTCAGGTGTCAAAGAGGGACATTTTCAGCATTTGCGGAAAGCTGTTTAGCAAAGATGCCAGACCCGCCTCTGCGAGGAGGGAGCTCCCCGACTGCAGAACTGCCCCAGGGTTGGACTTAGATGATGCTTTGGGTGTCTTGCAGCTGTACAAGTCTATGATTCCCCTCTGGTGCCTTTTCCCTTCCCTGACCTCTTCTGCCTCCTGCAGGGCGATGTGGGGCTGGCCATGGGGAAGCTCTATGGGAATGACTTCAGCCAAACCACCATTTCCCGCTTTGAGGCCCTCAATCTGAGCTTCAAGAATATGTGCAAGCTGAAACCGCTGCTGGAGAAGTGGCTGAGCGATGCAGGTAGGTTGGTTGGTTTCAATTCATCTTCTGCAAGCCGGCATTTGAATGAGCTCCCATTTCTTGCAGGTTTGCTTAAAGAAAAAAAAATCTTTCCTGGTCTTGCTAGCTTTACTGTTTCAGCATGGATTGAGGGGTGGAGAGCTGTTCCTCCTCCCCTCTCAGATTTTCAAACTCTGTAGGGTATAAATTGATGCTGTGCTTGTCTTCCTGAAGGAAACAGGATCCCTCATGAATCATACATCATTGTCCCACTAGGGGGCAATAGAGGGTGTGATAGTCTCCCAAGACGGAGAAAGAATAAAGTGAGTGTAGGATCCAAACAGAACATTGCAAAGTAAGACGCCAGCTTTCAAGTTCAACAGAACTCTGCTTCAGTTTGGATGTTAAGCAGAACAAAAACAGAAAGAGGGGTGTCTGAAAATATTTTTTATATAGCCCACCTTTTCTCCAAAGAGCGCAAGATGGTGTATATACTTCTCCCCCTCTCTATTGTATCCTCACAACAGCCCTGTGAGGTAGGCTAGGCTGAGAGGTAGTGACTGGCCCAAGATCACCCACTGAGCTTCCTGGCTGAGTGGAATTTGAACCCAGGTTTCTGGGTCCTAGTCCAACACTCTAACCACTACACCACACTCATGTCTCTGTGGGGCATGGTGGGAACCTCAGCCCAACCTTTGGTAACAGTCTCGTGGCTGGTGCTTATGGGAGTTGCAGTCCAAGATATCTGGAGGCCACCAGATTGGGGGAGTAGACCTGAGGTCAGAGCTTGGGAACCTGTGACTAGATGCTTTGGGACTCCAATTCCTGGCAGCATCAGCCAGTAAAGCAAATTGTCAGTTTTCTGCCCTAATCCCTGCACACATCAATATATCGGCTTTGAATTAAATGGTTTGCCTATCTCCTTGCTCCATAGAAGCTTCCCCTTTGGACTCTTCCGTGAGCACACCCAGTTCCTACCCATCTGTGAGCGAGATGTTTGGTCGCAAGAGAAAGAAACGCACCAGCATCGAGACCAACATTCGCTCCACGCTGGAGAAACGGTTCCAAGACGTAAGAGAAACAATCCACTTGCTGCTTTTAGCCATCAAGCATAATATGGGGAGGTATATAAGGCTGGAGGTTTGACAAGGCAAATGATGAGAAGCAAGAAGGAATGTCTTCCATCACTTCACCCCACTGGTCCTTCTAGGTTTTCCTCCATCCTAAAATAGTGTTATAGGATTGGGGGGTCAGTCTAGATGACATCCATGGATTCCTTCCTGACCTGTGATCCTGTACGCAGTGAGGTTAAGAATCTAGTAGGGGAGACTGCTGAACCAACAAAACCAGTTCCTTTTTGTTAAGGTAATTGTTAAGGCTAGCCAGTTAAGTACTTCAATTTGCATGTCCAAAGAGGTTGCTCTGTTGCCATAGAGACAAATGGGTGGGCATTTTCCCACCTCACCTTGACAGACTCTGGGGTTGTGCGCCCATCTCACTCAAGAGGCCGGGGGCCAGCGCTGTCCGCAGACACTTCCGGGTCATGTGGCCAGCGTGACATCGCTGCTCTGGCGAGCCAGAGCCGCACACGGAAACGCCGTTTACCTTCCTGCTAGTAAGCGGTCCCTATTTATCTACTTGCACCCGGGAGTGCTTTCGAACTGCTAGGTTGGCAGGCGCTGGGACCGAGCAACGGGAGCGCACCCCGCCGCGGGGATTCGAACCGCCGACCTTTCGATCGGCAAGCCCTAGGCGCTGAGGCTTTTAACCACAGCGCCACCCGCGTCCCCCCACCTCACCTTACTAGATGCCATGTCAGCCTAGGAGGGGGAACAAAGGGACAAGGGGTACTGTGTGAGAGACAGTTTTTTTGCTGATGCTGGAAGCTGGAGACCCAGAGGCTGGACCCAAAGATGTGGCATTCGGCTTCCCTAGAAACCTAAAAGGAAGTCAAGTTCTGATGAAGTGTAAATGCTGGGAGCCCCTGCATCCAATGTACAGGTTGTCTACATGTGTAAATAAATCCCTATGTCCTAAAGATACCACGGTCTCCATAGACCTTCATTCCCAGGAAACTTGAACCCTGGGTAAGTGCAGGAGCCCCTGGAGTCTCTCAGCACACAGAGATTAGGTGCTTGCAACACTATATATGATCTAGGTCTGTGTGCAGGATTCGACTGGTCAAAGTCCTGAACTAAATTGAGCCGATTTGGGGGAGTGGAGGATTCAGACATCCCCAGATCACTGCAGGTTGAGCCATCCGGTGATCTGTGGCTGTCAGGCAGCCCTGTGAGCTGTAGCATGATGACAGCCTTACCTTTCTATGTATATAGGAAGAAATAAAGTGCCCCTTACCGCTGTGGATGGTGTTGCTTATCTCAGCCTTTTTCTCTTCAGAACCCCAAGCCCAGCTCAGAGGAGATCTCCATGATTGCAGAACAGTTGTCCATGGAGAAGGAAGTGGTCCGGGTTTGGTTCTGCAACCGGCGCCAGAAAGAGAAGCGCATCAGCTGCCCGATGCCCTCCCCTATCAAATCACCCCTCTACAACTCCAGACTGGTAAGAGCTCCTTCACCAAAGGGGACTGGCCACCAGTGGGCATTGCTAGATAGTTAAAGGACTCGAGGGAGAAGCCCATGATGCACATGTCTTGCAAATTGGCAGATAAAAAAGGTTAAGGACCCCTGACAGTTAAGTCTAGTCGCAGATGACTCTGGGGTTACAGCGCTCATCTCACTTTACAGGCCGAGGGAGCCGGCATTTGTCCACAGACAGTTTTTCCGGGTCATATGGCCAGCATGACTAAGCCGCTTCTGGCTCAACGGAACACCGAAACCAAAGCAGCGCACAGAAATGCTGTTTACCTTCCCACCAGAGTGGTACCTATTTATCTACTTGCACTTTTGGCATGCTTTCGAACTGCTAGGTTGGCAGGAGGTGGGACCGAGCAGCTGGAGCTCACCTCATCGTGGGGATTCAAACTGCCAACATTCTGATCAGCAAGCCTAAGAGGCTCAGTGGTTTAGACCATAGCAGCACCCGCATCCCACTTATACACAGATACTGCTGGGCAAATTTAGGTGGTGGAGCTCTCGCTTTGTGCCCAGGAATTGTTGTTATGCCCAACGCTAGTCCTACTGGCAGTGGCCCACTGAAGTTAATGGACATGACTAACTTAGGTTCATTACATATGCTCCAACATTTTCTGTCCCAAATCCAGGACACATCATGCTGCCCTTGCCTCCACCCCTCACCCACCCAGGCTGCCTTGACCCACTAGCACCCACAAACATGCCCGGGCTGACTCAGCCACCCACCACCCACCACCTTACCTTTGCCAGCTCACTGCTGCCACCACTGCAATGCCAAGGCTGCCTTCTCCCCCTCTGCAAGACCCACCAAGGCACTTTGGTGACAGCCAGCACAGCTTTCCAGAAGGCAATGTCCCTGGCAATGTCAAAGCGATCTCAGAAGGTGCTCTGTTGCCCGTCATTCCAGGATCCAAATCTCAGCTTCTGTGATCCAGGATGTCCCAGTTAAAACGGGACAGTTGGGGGGTATGTCTTTAACTAACTTGGGTCCAGTCTGATGGGAACGTAGTTGGCTCCAACTCAAAGCTTGCTGTTTCTTATTTGGAGCTCTGCTCCAATACACCTGGATTGAGGAAAGCTGTTATAAACCAAACTGACCTGTCCCTTCTCTCACAGAAGCTGGACTGTCTGCATCCCATTGTCCCTGGCATGCCCTGTTACAAAGACCTCAGGCAGCAAATGTCAGCTTGGAAAGCCTGCAAGAATAGGCAGTGCTAAGCTGGATAGATTCGAGGTCTGAATGGTGAAAAGCCACTTGTTTATACGTAATAGTCAGGAGTATCACACGAAGACTGTGCTTTGAACGTCATGTTCCATGTCACCAACAATGTGCTCCTGCTGTATCAGAGCTAACAGAGCACCTCTCCCTGTTGAAAACTGCTTTGCAGGTGCCTGGTGCATAGCTCCACGCAGCTGCTGCCTGCCTCTCTGTCTTTCTTAGAAAGCAATTTGAATTGCACATGCACCTACATGAAGGAACGAGTGGAAGTGGGTTGTGTGAATGGCCAGAGAGTTGTTGCTGTTGGCAAGAGCTGGATTCTGTATGGTCCTCACCTTATGCTGGGCGAAGCATTAGTGTATAAACACACTTTGAAGTGGAATGCAGCTGTTGCTGGGGTAGAGCATGCCAGCTCCTTCTAAAGGAATGGCTTGCCGTAGGGGATCGACGCAGGAGAGCCAGGACAATATAATGGCTCATGATGAGTTGTCAGCCACAAGGGCCTTGCTTCAAAAGTTTCTTGGCAGCCCTCAGTAAACTGCCATCTCCCCAAACACACACACAGAGGCAGTATGGGAATAACAGCCATGGCCTACCTTGCAAGATTGTTGTAAGTGTTACTGAGATGGGGTACAGGTATTACCTTAAAAGCTCTGTTAGAAATGCTGCGTGGAAAAAGGCTGGGATCCAACTGAAACTGTGACGGAGAGTCTCAGTCGCCGGAATGTCAGCCAGCTTCCTGAGATGCTATCGCTCCAAATTAACAAGGCCCCCAGCAAATGGAAAGAGCACCTTTTCCCTGATTCACCAGGACTGACTCAGAGAGGAGAGCACCCTCGGAGGATGACTCATTCACACAGCTTCCTGCAAGGCAGCTGCTTCTAGCACAGCACAGGGTGCTCTCAGGCTGTCTCCGTTTTCGGGTGGGATCCTCTCCTGTGTCAGCAAACCCAGGTTGTGCAATCGTTGTCGACAGGGAGCTCTGGCGCAAGAAATACACCTCGCCCCACCCCAACCCCCCTCAAAATAGACTTTTTGCTTTGAGATATAAAAACAAAATTAAAAATGTCCAGTAGCACCTTAGAGACCAACTAAGTTTGTTCTTGGTATAAGCTTTCGTGTGCATGCACACTTCTTCAGATACACTTTGTCAAACCAACATGGCTACCTACCTGAATCTTTTTGCTTTGAGGAAAGGGATGGGGGAATTCACTAGACAGTGTGGGACAGAATGCTTGCCTGGATACAACATCCTCTAACCTCCCCTACAACAAATCAGAAGGCTCCTGAAATTGGCAGTGTCATCTCATCTCCCTGCAAATCAATCACAATTAATGCTTTTTTTATTAAAAAAATAAATTAATTAAAAAGGTCATCTGGAAGCAACTATCATCTCCAGCTGCTGAACCATCTGAGCAAATTGTCATCTAAGTCCAGCAGCAAATGTAGAGTTGGAAAGGACCTTTGCCAAACTTTTATTAGGCATTACAAGTATCGGCCATCATAAAACATCCATATATAAAATTTAAAAATATGTACAAATAAACAGCAATGTAAAATATGTAATAATGAGGATTTTCATTGGAGTTTCTTCCTGCTAAATAAAAAGGAGGCAGGGCTAAGTACCACCTGCATTATACATTTAAAGCAGCATCACATTTCTATCACAGACTTACATCTCCCAGAGTTCCCTGTGAAGAGGGATTGCTTGTTAAACCACTCTGGGAATTGCAGCTCTTTGAGGAGAACAGGGGTTTCCTGACGACTCTTATCCTTAAGAAACTACACTTCCAAGGATTCTTTGGTGGGGGGAGCCACAGTCTATATTTTGACGTATTTCCTTTAAAACAGCTCAAAATTTATTTATTTTAGATTTTGTGTCCGGATTTCCAACCCTGTTTAAATGTACAGTGCAGATGATGCCAAAAATGAGCTTCTCATTGAACGATTTGAGGCTCCTTTAGCTAGTAAAGGTAAAGGGACCCCTGATCATTAGGTCCAGTCATGACCAACTCTGGGATTGCGGCGCTCATGTCGCTTTATTGGCTGAGGGAGCTGGCATACATCTTCCAGGTCATGTGGCCAGCATGACCAAGCCGCTTCTGGTGAACCAGAGCAGCGCATGGAAACACCGTTTACCTTCCCCCCCGGAGCGGTACCTATCTATCTACTTGCACTTTGACGTGCTTTCAAACTGCTAGGTTGATAGGAGCAGGGACCAAGCAACGGGAGCTCACCCCGTCGTGGAGATTTCAAACCTTCTGATCAGCAAGTCCTAGGCTCTGTGGTTTAACCCACAGCTTTTTGTGTGTGTTTTTCTAAGCACCAACCATATGACTTGCAGTGGACAAACCAACCAAGGCCAATCTTTTAACCTGTCACCCCAAATGATCCTCTTTTGCTTGCTTTTCTCTTCCAGGTCTCTACCTCAGGATCCTTGGGTCCCCTCTCTGTCACTCCTGTTCACAGCACCATGCATGGGGCAGGTATGTGGGGGTTCCCCCCCCCCAGGAGAACGTTTCTCTGTTTCTGTTTTTTCCTTCCATGATTCAGCCCCTCTGATCTGCTTCTCTAGGTGGGATGGGGTTGGGGAGGCAACATGGAACCAGCCTGTCTTTTGCCTCAGGCCTTTGGCGCCTCAGGCCCTGCAGGGATATTCCTCTGCACAGCTCAGACCTTGCCTAGGGGCACAGGACAAGGAACGCATATATATCGGCTTGAAGCAACCCTGCCAAATCTTTGGCCGCAGGCTTTCCGTTGATACTGTAATGGGCAGTTGGGCTGGGAAAGCCCAACAGGGTAAAATGGAAGGGTGTGATGACAGACTGGCCAGAGGGCAGGTTCTGGAGCAGACAGACAAGGGGAGGGAGGAAATCTGCATCATTACTCCACTGGTCAAACAACTCAGACTGAGGGGCTGGGAATCACAGAATCGTAGCGTTATCTACTCCAGCTCCCTGCAATGCAGGAATCTCAACTAAAGCAACCATGGCAGGTGGCCATTCAACCTCTGCTTAAAAAACCTCCAATGAAGGAGAACCGACAACCTGCAGAGGGAATTCATTCCATTGTCAAACAACTCTTACTGTCAAGGAAAGGACTGTAACTCAGTGCCAGAGCATCTGCTTTGCTTGCAGAAGGTCCCGGGTTCGATCCTTATCATCTCCAGGTTGGAAAGAGGAAAGGCCCTTTGTCTGAAACCCTGGAGAAAGGCTGCCAGTCAGTGTAGACTCCCGATGTTGCTGAACTACAATTCCCATCATCCCCTACAAGCACGACCAATAGTGATGGGAGTTGCAGTTCCACAACGTCTGGCAGGCCAAAGATTCGTCATGCTGGTGCAGACAGCACTGAACTTCAGGGACCAATGGTCTGACTTGGCCAAAGCCAGCTTTCTATGTTCCTATGGCATGGCTTAGGCAGTGGTTCTCAATCCGTGGGTCCCTAGATGTTGTTGGACTACAACTCCCATCATCCCTGAGCTCTGGCCTTGCTAGCTAGGGGTGATGGGAGTTGTAGTTCAACAACATCTGGGGACCCACATGTTGAGAAAGGCTGGCTTAGAGCAACTGTTATATAACTGTTATATAGGCCCCTGTTGGATCTACAGGTCAGCTGATCTGGCTGGTCCGAAAAACAGCAGTACCACCTCTGGCCATTGTAGAGGTGGCGCCACAGCACAGCAGAGGCAGGACTGAGAATTCCTTCCTTTGCCCGGTGGCACAAAGAGTAAGATGCCCGAGTCCCTGTTTCAGTGCAGCCACCAACCACCAGCACCATACCTGTTTGACTTCTTGCTTACATCCAAACCAGGGAGGGGGGCAAGGGGACACTAGCTCTCAGTTTCCTCCTCCGTAATCTCTGTGTTACCACAGTGGAACTCAGCTGAGAGAAAGATGCGAGCAGGAGGGTGGGGGGACGAAGTTAGAATTAGTTGAATCTGCCTGTCCTTGGCTCTGCTCCCACCAACCATGTCCCCATCATCCTTCATTTCTTGGAGGAATTGGAAAACATTCCTGTTTACCCAGGCAACTGGTGGCTGAAGGATACTGTCCCTGGCAACCCCAAGGTCATTTGGGAAGGATGTATTTAACTGTAATTACGTTTGGACGTCTTTAATTGTCATTGTTTTTAGAATGCTTTCATCTGTTTTAGGACTGTTTGTGGTTGTTTTTAGTTTTGTATCTATATGCCACCCTGGGGTCCTGCCCATCTGGCTGGGTTTCCCCAGCCACTCTGGGTGACTCCCAACAGAATTAATAATGATAATACTAAAAAAGCAATAAAACACCAGACATTGAAAACTTCCCTAAACCTTCGATGTCTTCTAAAAGTCGGATAGTTGTTTATTTCCTTGACATCTGATGGGAGGGCATTCCACAGGGCGGGTGCCACTACCGAGAATTTTATTATTATTATTATTATTATTATTATTATTCCCGATGGGCATCAACCACCACTGAATGGAGGGCCTAGGAAAGAAGGGTCAGAACAGTGAAATGGGGAGAGGAACCAGGAACAAATGCACTGTTAAGATGCAAAAGAAACCGCAACTATTTGCATGCACCGGAGGGCCTGAAGGATTTTCCTTTAAGGATAGTTTTCTCTCTCGCACAGTGACATCATCATGCTCTCCGGGGAACTCCAGCCGGCCCTCGTCTCCTGGCACGGGACTCCACGCCAGCAGCCCCGGCATGTCCCAGAGCAACTCCAAAGCAGCCATCAACTCCTCCAGCTTCAACTCTTCTGGGTAAGGCTATGTCGGGGGGAGCGGGGTGCAGTTAAAAGAATAATTGAATTGTAGAGTCGGAAGGGACCAGCAGGGTCATCTAGTCCAACCCCCTGCAATGCAGGAATCCCAGAGTTTCCCCTGGGATCATGTGAATAAAAAGACAGTGAAGAAAGCCAGGAGGCAGGAGAGAGCAGGATATAATACAGAGTCACCTGAGGACACTGAAAGTCCCAATCTGGCCAGGTGTGACTGTGACTTTTCCCCGGGTGCTGAATTTCCACTCCTGGGAAACGGTTGTCTTCTGCTTTAAGGCTTGCAGGAAAATGAGCAGCTGCACTTGGAAAAGTTCACTGTTGCAGAACTGCATCTGAAGTCGGACAAGGATGCCCACTGGAGATGTAATAGGTTGCTTTCACACTAGCCTCTGTGCTCTGGAATTTTTACAGAGAATTTGGAAAGTGTCCTTGTCAGCTTGCTGCAGTCTGTTGTTTTCTGTGTTAAGCTCCTGTAAATTTTCAGACGTGATTAGTGATTAAAAAAAATACTAAAGCAGCAAAAACCCGATAAGTGCAGACTTTGGGGGGTCACTGTGCCCTTAATTGAAAACTTCCTGTGTGCTAGTTCAGCCTGTTTTATTGCTTTGGGCGGATAGTAATTAATGACCCCTTAATTTCTTATTAGGTAGTCAGTTGCTGGTCCCTGGTGGAAGGGGGTTAAATAGTCATTCCCTTGCTGCTGCTACTTCCTTTTATAGTGAAATACAAGACTCTTTTGCAGCCTTTAAGAATTATACACACACCAAAAGAAAAAATCCGTACAAAAAAATTCATAATGTCTTGCCTTGAGGGCAAATTTAGAATTGGAAAAATGGCACATGGTGAAACAGCTGGTACAGATCCACACCATATGTTTAAAGCACATATAACACACATTTAAAGCAAATGGCTACCCTAAAGAATTCTGGAAATTAGTGCTTGAGTTTGCCTTTTCTTCTCCCTTTTCCCTCCCCCTCCCCTTTCCTTTTCTGTCATGTCTTTATATTTAGGGTTGCCATATGGCCTCTTCTTCCGTTTTATATTTTGTTTGCCCCTTCCACTTCCTAGCTATAATAATTCATGCAGCTGTCAATAAATAGCCTGTGAACCTTCCACCCCATCATAAACTGATAATAATGCTACTTCTGGACTTTTGGTGAGCTTTAACTCCATGATTTCTGTAATCTCCTTAAACACCCTTTGCTAAAAAAAATTGTACATATTTACACCCCCAACACCTGTGAACATAATTCCGTGTTTCCTGGCATCCCCTCCAACATAACACACAACTAGTTTTTATAGACATGCATTCTCTCTCTCTGCAGAGAAAACCGTTTCTAAAGTCTTGCCTTTGTGTCTTTTTGTTCTGTTTATCCTTGTGAGCAGATCCTGGTACCGATGGAACCAGCCCACCTACCTCCACTGAAGCCCCATTCCCCAAAGAGCAGCCGACTCTGCAGAAAAAGAAAAGGAGCCTGAACTTTTGTGCTATGGACCCGCTTCTTAGGGAACAGTGGCTCAGTCAAATGCACGGCCCACATGCCACAACCGGTCTCCCTTCAACCTCACTTGATGGCAGCAACTCTGCAAGCAGAACTGTCAAAGAGACTAAAACGGTGACACGTGGCAACGGTGCGTGCGCATGGCATAAGCCATTCGCATCATGTCATCCTCAGGCACTTCTGCATGCGGTTGCCTAAACCTTTTGCTCTGTAACTGATGCCTGGCGATCTTCGACGGGGAAGTGGTTCTGTCTTCTCTCTCTAGTTTGTAAATGCTTTTTGTTGGAAGGCAACTGTGAAGACGCATCCATTCTCCCATCTAAACCGAAAGATGCATCCGCGGAGATCCCCACCCCCTAAGCTAAGCCAAGGCTGTCAAATTAGATTTCCTGAAGGTTTCAATCAGGATTGGCACTTTCAGTGTCCTGCAGGTGGTGCTCTGGAGCAAGGTAGCTATGCTTGGATTGCCTGTGAGCGATGCATTCGCTCAAAATTGTGGGAACGTTTAGGTGATCTGGATGCATCCAGGTTTTGATCTCCAGACTCTTTGTGCTGGGGACCTGGGGACCCCATAGCTTCTGGGGAGCAAGATAGACATGGAATTGACATGCATCTAATTGTTCAAGAGTGAGGCTGCCTGGGCCGACCCTATCGTTGGGCAGAGTGAGGTTGTACACATGTAGTTAGTCTCCATTGTACCCCCTAAGCTAACCAGCTGCCCTCAGCGGCAATGGAGGGTGATAGCTCCTTTGCTGACATTGAAGCAAAACACAGCTACCGATCTGGTTGGCTTCAGTGAATGACATGGGGAGGGTACCATCTGGGCCTGCATCTCAGGTAGCAAAATATCTTGGGCCAACCTTGGATGGTATATTCACCAAATGGGCACTTTTTCACCCAACTTGCCTATCTATAGACACTTGCTTCTCCAATATTTGGGAGGTTGTGCTTTAGAATTGCCAATGCCTGTGACAGATGTGTTAATTTTTTAAAAAATATATATTTTTTAAATGGTCTCTCATGAGGATCTCTGATTATACAAGTCAGGCATTTTTCCCCACACATGGTGGCTCAAGCTGTACCTTGAAAAGTCCAGATTTGCCCAGGTGTCTACTGGACAAATGCCTTGATGAGTTAATACATTTCATCTTCACAAACTTAAAAATCTCAAGCAGTTTTGAAACCATTTTACAAGTTCTTTTTAAAAATAAAATAAGCACACATATCTAGTCATGTAGACACCTCCCTTTTTTCATTCAAGTGAAACATTTTGGTGGGGAAGATTGACTGGACAAAACTGCTTGTGAGCCGGTCTAAGTCAATTCCACCACTCCCTTGATCTGAATGTGACTAGGAGGGGCAACAGTAAATAGAAAACACGGAAATAGGTTGAATAGCCTCTAACCCCTGGAGTTTGGCTACACACACTTACATGCTAAGTTGCTGGGGTGGGGAAGAAATTTGATTCTGTTTGCATCCAGAGGCAAACCTACCTGACTGAACTTTCCAAAATGATGCACAAACTGAAGAACAGCCATCATTCAAAATTCTCAGTTTCCAAATTTTGCAGTGGAGTTCTCCAGCCAAGTAATGTGTAGAGACTAGGGCAAAGCATGCATAAAAATGCATGAAGATAACCTACAAAAATGCTTTTTATTAGGAGAGATTGCTTTGCCAAAATGTGCCAATTAGGAGAATTTTGCACTAAAAATGTGGTGAATTTTCACAATGACTTTTTTTTAAAAAGAAAAAGAAAATCACAAACCGATGTCAACATGGGGAGACCTTAACCTTTGGGCTGGAAAAACAAGAAAGTGACAGAAAGTGAAACTGACAGACCTGCTCGTTCCTCACTAGCCATGCAAATCGAATCTTCGTTTCCCCTGTTTCGCTCAGTTTGTACAATTCCCAAGCTACCAGGACTGGGCCAGAGCTGCTGCTGGTAGCAATAAAAAGGATGAGTCATTTCTTTTACCCCTGATACTAAATAATTGTGTCGCATATGGGAGGAGGAGGTCAGCAAAAGTCTGTTCCTGGGAAAAGAGGCCGCCTAGGGTCCCATACTCGGAGCTTGAAGGCTGGAAAAGCAACTGGGTGGAGGCAGCCTTTGGGTTGGGAAAAGTTTGGAGAGGAAAGGATGAAGCAGCCTTTCCCCCTCCAGTCACACTCACCACCTCCCCCAGCTGCTTTCCATTAAGTGTGCACACAGAGACTGTGATGCACATCTGCTGTGTAATGAGTAGCTTGGAAAAAGCCTCTGAAACCAGCTGATCTGGAAGATTCCTCTTCTAGAGCAAGTTCTGTTTATTCACAACATATTTGCTGCTTAGACCAGCGACTGGGAACCTCGGATCTGGGGGGGGGGGTTAACCAGGCCTATCAGGATTCTCTCCCCACCCCCCAGGTCACGTGCCTTCCCACCCCTCGCCAAGCCTGCTTTGCACACTCCTTAGATGTTTTCACCTGACCGGAATTTGTCCTTGGAGTCTCCCAATGCCTTTCTGCTTTCCTGGAGAGGCAGGGGAATGTGTGATCGTGTGCAGAAACTAGCCTGCTTGTACAAAGGTAAAAATTGCATTCGTTTCTCCACCCCACTTTTGCCTCTTGCCCTGCCCACTTCTGGCAAGTGGCCCCCACCCAGCGGGAAATGTGGCCCTCAGGCTGAATAAGCTGCCCAACTCCTGCCTTAGACAATTGCCCCTCTTGCACTGTAGATCTTTTTTTGCCATCACATTGATGGCAAGGAATGAATATAAAACTATTACCACTTTGATGGCTCCAAGCCCGTTAGAACTGTACTCCTCTGTTCTTTTATGTTTTGGGTTTTGTTTGTTTTTTAATTATTGTTATTAATAGTCTGTCCATTGGGTTTTTATATTAGCTCCCAGGCAAAAGAAACTTTGTCTAACACCGTGATTGCAATCGTGATGTTTGTTTAAGGGGGGGAGATATTTTCTGTATTGTAAATAGTTTCTCTTCTGGCACCCTACATCTTCTGTGTCTTCCACTTTTCTCTCTTTGGGAGAACAGTTTGTATAACTCAGGTGTGAATTTTGAAGATTTTGTGTCTCTTTTTATGTGTGTGTGTGTTTGTGCATTGTTTTGATTTCATTAAAATTCCTTTTAAATGCTGGGAACCTCCTTATCAGATCAATGCAGAAAGTTGCATTTCTTTACAGAACGAGGCTGTTTATCTGTTATCTAGTTAACGCCCATGACTTCCCCCCAAAGAATCCTGGGAGCTGTAAAGCTCCGAATGGTAGCCCTGTGAGGAATAAACTTCTGTTCCCAAGATCCTTTGCGGTAAGCCATGATTACTAAAGTGATATAAATACAGTGGTACCTCGGGTTACATACGCTTCAGGTTACATATGCTTCAGGTTACAGACTCTGCTAACCCAGAAATAGTGCTTCAGGTTAAGAACTTTGCTGCAGGATGAGAACAGAAATCGTGCTCTGGCAGCGTGGCGGCAGCAGGAGGCCCCATTAGCTAAAGTGGTGCTTCAGGTTAAGAGCAGTTTCAGGTTAAGTACAGACCTCCGGAAAGAATTAAGTACTTAACCCGAGGTACCACTGTAGGCTTTACAGGCAACCTTGTTTCAATGTCACCTCAATGACTTTTATTTAGGGAGGAAGGTGGCTTCCAAACTGGTCCTGGGTGGGTGGGCAAGACTGAATAAATCAGTGGTCTTACTACAGGCTGACCATTCCTCCCTCCAACCCGTATGTTGAGCGATCAGAGAACATGTGTCGGCATAACCTGCCCAGACTCTCTAGCTCTTCTTAGAGGACTAGCTGTTGCAGATCAGGATTCTGCAGCTGTCTGGAATTCCAGCACAGTTCCTGGAAATGGCATTTGGCGAGCAGAGGCAGAAATGCTTCTGAATGCCAGTTGCCGGAGGCCAAAGGAGGTGAGAGTGCTCTTGTGTTCGAATCCTGCTTCTAGGTTTCCCACAGGCATCTGTGAGAACGGGATGCTGGATCTTCTTATGTGGTATGCCTGCACACCTGCAAATCATTTCCCCGGGATCACACGGATGATGCATATGATAATGTGATTAATGTAAAATGTGCAGTCGTTCCTCCACCCACTTTTGCCTGTGGCCCCGCCCACCACTAGAATGTGGCTCCCAAAAGATTAAAGGTAAAGGGACCCCTGACCATTAGGTCTAGTCGTGACCGACTCTGGGGTTGCGGCGCTCATCTTGCTTTATTGGCCGAGGGAGCCGGTGTACAGCTTCCGGGTCATGTGGCCAGCATGACTAAGCCGCTTCTGACAAACCAGAGCAGCGCATGGAAACGCTTTTTACCTTCCCGCGGGAGCGGTACCTATTTATCTACTTGCACTTTGATGTGCTTTCAAACTGCTAGGTTGGCAGGAGCAGGGACTGAGCAACAGGAGCTCAGGCCGTCACAGGGATTCGAACCGCCAACCTTCTGATCAGCAAGTCCTAGGCTCCGTGGTTTAACCCACAGCGCCACCCACGTCCCCTTCCCAAAAGATTACCCTGAAGGAAATGCTTCCCATAGGCTGAAAAAGTCTCCCCACCCATGCTCTGGAAGGCAACCAGTACTTTAAACTCCACTACCCAGTCTTGGGTAATGACATGCAATGTAACCACCAATCTTGTGACAAAGAGTGTCCTGACTGGTGATCGTCAGGCAACCTGCTGCTTTCCTAGACATATGCTGATTGGTTTTCCTGTGCTGTCATTCTCATATGTAGGTGTCATGGAGGTGAAAAGGGATCGCTCCTCAGGTGATTGCATCTGACTGTACGCAATCCAGGGATAATTAATCCCTCGTCAATCCATAATTATGGGACATACATGAACAATTAAACCCATGTTGATTTCCATTATGATTTGCGGGCGCCTAAATGTGTCAAATGTGAATAAGCTGAGCAGTGTGTCAATAGCGGGCCCCCACACGAATATTGAGTGCAACATTCAGCATCTCAAGAAACTCAGTTTTCAATTGATGTTTTTAAAAGTGTCTCATCCTTAAGGCTATTGGGGGGGTGAGCTATCGGGCAAAAAACAGGCCAGGAATGGCTTCTCTATAGGAACTCCTGTGCACCTCTGCCCTAGGAGGCAAAGTCTTTTCTTAAGCAAAAGGTAAATGTTAAGGGACCCCTGACCATTAGGTCCAGTCATGGCCGACACTGGGGTTGCGGCGCTCATCTTGCTTTATTGGCCGAGGGAGCCAGCGTACAGCTTCCGGGTCATGTGGCCAGCATGACTAACCCACTTCTGGAGAACCAGAGCAGCGCACAGAAACGCCGTTTACCTTCCCGCCGGAGCGGTACCTATTTATCTACTTGCACTTTGACGTGCTTTCGAACTGCTAGGTTGGCAGGGGTTTCTTAAGCAAAGGACGCCCTATAAGATGTGGAGACTAGGCTTGAAAGATGAAAGTCACCACTGGCTTATATGGCTTTGGTTAGGTTAATTTGTGGTCTGTCAATCACTGTTAGTCATGTTAGCTCAGTGAAACCACCATGTCCAAAGGCAATCTACCTTGGGATGCCAGCTACAGGGGAACTAAAAGCACAGGGTGGATATTGTCTTCACCCCCAAACTTCTGTGAGCTTCTCAGGAGCATCATCTAGCTGGCTGCTTCTGAGCTGAATGCTTGGCTAGATTGGCCTTTGGTATGGTCTTACATTTATTTGGTGACAGTGGCAATATCAGGACAGAGTCTCTTCTTATTCCAGGAAAGGACTGCAGCACCAGGATGCCAGCCAGGTGAAGGGAGTTCTAGTCTAAAACATCTGGAGGGCAACAGGTTCAAGAAGGTGGCGCTGGATGTTTTCCATAGCCGTCAGCACCATACATAATGGCTTGAGATGCTGCCAGCCTATCAAGTCAATATGATAGGCATCCCTTCTATGTAGCTTGCTCATCTTCTGCTCCTCTCACAAGGGAGATGGCCCTCAGTTGTTGTTGTTCTCCTCCCTTATGTTGGATCCTGTTACACAGCAACTCCACCCTAACTTCCTGCCAGCAGTTGGTGCTTAATGATACAGACAGTGACAGAACGTGGGCAATGACCTCTACAGCTAGTTATTTGGGGCACGTAGCATGTTGGGTTTAGGCAGCAGGTTTCATGGGATGCTATACAGTCATTGTTGTTGTTTAGTCGTTTACTTGTGTCTGACTCTTCGTGACCCCATGGACCAGAGCACGCCAGGCACTCCTGTCTTCCACTGCCCCCCGCAGCTTGGTCAAACTCATGCTGGTAGCTTTGAGAACACTATCCAACCATCTTGTCCTCTTTCGTGCCCTTCTCCTTCTGCCCTCCATCTTTCCCAACAGCAGAGTCTTTTCCAGGGAGTCTTCTCTTCTCATGAGGTAGCCAAAGTATTGGAGCCTCAGCTTCATGATCTGTCCTTCCGGTGAGCACTCAGGGCTGATTTCCTTAAGAATGGAGAGGTTTGATCTTCTTGCAGTCCATGGGACTCTCAAGAGTCTTCTCCAGCACCATAATTCAAAAGCATCAATTCTTCGGTGATCAGCCTTCTTTATGGTCCAGCTCTCACTTCCATACATCACTACTGGGAAAACCATAGCTTTTACTATACGGACCTTTGTTGGCAAGGTGATGTCTCTGCTTTTTAAGATGCTGTCTAGGTTTGTCATTGCT